AATTATTGTGCAAAGTTAATTTATGTCAAAAGAGAAAGTTTTAATGCATTTAGAAAATAAAATTCTCATTAATTTTAAAAAAATTTTGTAAATACCTCATCATCATCAATTTTTGCCATTTTATTAGTTTTTAGTATTTCTTTTAAAATTGTGCCACTTCTCTTTTGAGCTTCAACTTTTTTTAATAGCTGCTTTTCATTTTTATTTGACTAAAAATAAACAAAATTTATATAAAAAATATGATAAACAAATATAAGATAATACAACGAAATATAATAAAAAAATAATTTAATTTGCCAAAAATAACTTTAAAACATAAATAAAAATATATAACCTTTTTAATTGATTTGTCTGTCTTACTTGTAGACATATACTCAGTATTATCAAAAGATTTTTTCATTATAAGATGTTTGTTCTCTTTTGTTGTAAATAGAACATTATTTTTTTGCAACAAATCTAATTCAGTACTCATGTTTGTCCAATCTAATAAAAAAAAATTATAACTGTTATTTATATAATAATTTTTATATATAGTAATAAATTTAAATTGTTAATTGCTTTTTCTTTCAATTTCAAAGAAAGAGAATAGTTTTGTGTTCCTCCTTAATTGTTTCTTCGCATTTAAGCTATAATTATTAAATTATTGATTGGTATAAGTTTCACGCATGCTGGGTATATGATGTATCATTTTATCCTTGTTGTTTACCCAATCAAACAAGGATAAAATGATATATTATACGCATTATGCGTGAAACAGAACGCAGCCAAATTATGTTTCGGCTTAATTATACCATTTATATAACTATTTTAAAAGATTATAAGCGATGAAAATAGTTTATTTTTAAATAAATCACTCACCACCAAATCCTAGAACTTTGACAGCATGAACTTCCCACTGTTCGTCTCTCAAATCTTTCAATATATTTTTCATTTTCCGGGCTGAATGTACATCACATTTGGGCCAAGCTATTTCCACCTCCTTTTTGCTTTCAATAATATTATTCAGTTCCTCTTCGGTCGTGGATTCATTTAACCAACACGTATAACCTATGGCTAATGCCTTGTCTTCGTTTAAAAATTCCACTAATATGCATGATTTATTGTCTATCATGAGTCTTTTTTTCATTTTTCCGTTTTTATTGAAACTAATAATGCTGTATGGCTAACAATAAAACTTTAATTCACTTGTAATTCTCTTTTCGCGGGATACACGCTGCATGGAAACACGCTGCATGGAAACACTTGCCGCGCGGATTATATACGTGGAAAAATGTGATGCCATAGCCAATAAACGTATACCTTGATTCTGAACGTTCATTGGTTACCGCGTTGCACCTTTTCGCGCGGCAATTTAAGGCTTTTTAGCTGGATATATAATAGGTGTAATATGAGCTTTAAAAACTGTAAGGAATGATTAATCACAGTTGAATGCGAGAAGAATATGATTATAATTTTTTACGCCTTACATCTATTATACCTATTATTAATCCAGGTTAAGCGAATATAGGCTATTATTTCATTTCGTAAGAAAAATAATTTTCAAGTCTGTTGATATTGGCTGCAAAATAGAGAAGTTCTCGATTCTCTTTATTTTATAGTCAATCAGCAAACTTGATAAATTTGTCATGCGACACTGACGACACATAAAATATTGGCTGCATTGATTGATACACTATATATCGTGGAATCATGGTGTAAGAATACACCATGCGTGGAATCACCATTCTAATTGTTTCTCATCGAAAGATAAACAAAGAGATGCAGGCTTACGAATAACGTTGCAATTAATCGCCAAGTGAAACGCAGTCATCAATGTGTTTTGATATGTTGTTTCTACGTTTTTATTTGAGTGCGAATACATGCGAAGTCGTTAATATAGTCGATTATAATATGCCATAGATCTTTGTTGGTTATGTCTGAATTTGAATGACAATAAACATAATATTTTTTATGTGCAGTTTATATACTTTAACAATATATTTTTCGTAAATTTACGATATATATAGTGTACATCAATCAGTTCATAATTAGCGTGTATACAGCTGTGTTCAATATTTAACATTTATTTATTTCAATTTTTCTTTATCTTGAATATAAAATATAATTATTAAAAATATGAAAAGACGTGGCTTTTATTTTCAATATCTACAAGATCCATCTGTGCCTATATCATATACAACTGTTTATAACCGTGTTACAAGAAATGAGAATGAATTATCAGCGGATCATCTGCAACTACAGGTATGTAAAATTTTATTGTTTTATTTTTTTTTGCAAAAGTAAAATTAAAAAGTAGAGGCCAATTTTTTAATATAAAATATAGAATTATCCAATGATTTCAATGTTGATTTTTTATATTTATAAATTATAACGTTAGCATATTAAATATTATAATTTATAAAGTAAGATTTATAAAGTAATATAAAAATTGATTCTATCATGGTTTTTAAATAAATTATATAGTGCTAGCAAAGTTGTTAATCGTAAGAAATTAAAAGTTTATTATGTTTTTATGTTAATATAATAGTTAAAACTTTTGTATAATTGTAACTGTGAAATATTTCTTGAAAAATATAAAGTTTTACATTGATTTAAATTTTTTGAATAATTGTTTCGTGCTATTTTTTTGTATTATTTTTTCACAGGAAAATGACAGAAATGATCAAATTTTTAATCTACAGCAGGAAAATGAACAATTAAATATGGAAATAGATGAGTTTTGTCAAGACAATCTTTCTGATAGACAGGTATCAATATATTATGTAACTTTCAATTTCTTCTATTTGACATTGTTGTTCTGATTTGTGTAATTTTGTATTATATCACAAATAAATTTTATTAAAACTTTTATAAAATAATATAAAATGTATAGTATTGTAATTAAGTAGCATACAAAATCATAATTTTATTTTTTATAGATTTTAAATCAAAACAGACTTGAAGATGAACACGCCAACCATGATGATGATGAGAGTGCACAAGATGTAAATATATATAGTAACGCTAGTAATTTGAACTCAAAGAATAATTTCAACCTAATGCATATTTTAACAATTATGTTAGAAGAATTGGTCTATACACGTAAACTTTATAGAATGAGTATTTTATAATCAAGAATATTTATGTTTTAATAGATGCTAAATCAAATGGTTGTTGATGAGCAATATGAAAATATATTTTACGACGACATTGAAAATGAAGAAAATGAAAAAATTGAAGAAGATGAGCCTCAAATAAACGTTGAATTACACGAAAATCCTAATAATGTTTACGTTATGAATGATCATGAAGATCGAAGAAATGAGGTGAGCTAACATATAACTTTGCTTATTTTGAGTACTTTTGGCTAAAATTTTATCTTGTTTATTTTTAAACTTAATAGTATTTGGAAATAATATAAATGTTATTATATAATTAACATCATTTTTCAGGAAAGAGTACCTATTTATCCAGGAGCTGCACTTACAAAAGAAGAAAGTAATCTTCTTATAATAAGTTTCATGATTCGACATAATTTGTCAGATGTTGCGTTAGAAGATCTATTGAAACTTATTGATTGTCATATTCCAAGAACACTGAACGTATCAAAGTATAAATTCCTCAAAGAATTTCCTGACACTGCACATATTAAAACATTTTATTATTGTCCAGACTGCTTGATTCTATTAAATTTTAGAATTGCTCGATGCATAACATGTACATCTTGTCATAAAACTTTTCTTCAGAATTCTTTAAAACGAAATGGACACTTTTTTTACATATACCTTTAAAGAATCAATTAAGTAGTTTATTTTCTGGACCATTATTTTATGAATTACAAAGAGATTGTGGAGAACAAGATATACTTTCTGATGTAACAAGTGGCAGCGTATATAAAATGTTAAAAGAAAAAGGAATAATTTCCAATTACGATATATCTCTTCAGTGGAATGTTGATGGTGTGCAGACTTTCAAATCATCAAAAGTATCAATGTGTCCATTACAAGTATCAATTAATGAATTGAATTATCGTTTAAGAAAAGAAAATATTCTTCTTGCTGGAATATGGGCTGCTACAGAAAAACCTGTTCTAAATCTATTTTTGAAGCCGTTTATTGACGAACTAAAAGAACTTCATGTTAATGGTTTTGAATGCTTGCCACCTAATTTTGATGAACCAATAATTGTTAAAGTACATACAATTCTCGCTCCTGTAGACTCCGTGGAGAGGTGTGCATTACAAAATATTCACCAATTTAATGGTAGATATGGCTGCTCATTGTGTTTAAATCCAGGCGAACATATTCCAGTAGGAAATGGTTATCTACGTGTATATAGAGGAGGAGAAGGTATAAAAAGAACGGAAAGTCAGCATAAAAGAGATGCTATAAAAGCAGAAACAGAAGATACGATTGTCAACGGAGTTAAGGGCGTTTCCCTACTAATGCTTCTACCTGTTTTCAATATTATTAGATCTTTCCCTCCAGAATATATGCACAGTGTTTTACTTGGAGTAATAAAACTGTTTCTGTTAACTTGGTTTGATCCAAAAAACTGTAGGAAGCCGTGGTACATTGGAACAAAATCGCAAATATTTGATAATAGATTATCAAAAATATTACCACCAAGTGAAATAGCACGTACACCACAATCAGTGAGTAATTTAAGTCGATGGAAAGCTTCGGAATTCAAAAATTTTTTAATTTATTATTCTCTGCCTTGTCTAAAAAATCTGCTTCCTTCAGTTTTTTACAAACATTGGTCTTTACTCGTTTATGCTATTTATGTATTTGATGGTGATAAAATTGAAACTCAAGCGTATGATAATGCTACAAAAGCGATAAAAAAATTTGTGAATAACACTGAAATGTTATATGGCATGGAACTAATGAAATTTAATGTGCACTTGTTGCTGCACATACCCAAGTCAGTTAAAGATTTTGGGGCTTTGTGGGCATGGTTTGCTTTCCCTTATGAAAGTAACAATTTTGTTTTAAGAAGCATGTTGCATAGTTCTCAAACAATTTTGCAACAA